TTTGTGGTTCGGGCAATGGGAAACAAAAGTTTTAGATTAGGGTGCAACGTGAGAAATTTGATAGTTGAGGGGGCAAAATGGAAAAAGGGTAATAATTCAAGGGGTGTAAGTATAATTTACCTTATTTTTATACAACACTGTTGACAATACTCATAATAAGTGTTTTTAGAAAGATAATTGTCAAAGCATGAAAAAAAAAAAGAATTTTAAATACATATATTTTGGTATTTGGATGATTTTTTTTTTTTTACAGTAGTGTATATTTTTACATTTGATATTAATAGTGCATCGCTAAAAAAAAAAAAAAGAATTGGCCTTAGACTTTGTTTAGGTCGGACCACCCCGCAACTTCTTCAAACATAATGGCAATCGCATTTCAGTGCAGCACAGAGGCCTCAACACTACCATACCCCATCTTTATCCCCTGTGAAGTGCAAAGCAACAAACTCCCAAACCCTGTCTTCCTACAATACACTCTTGGAAGGGCAAGCCTCCGTATGGAAGCTAAATTCTGCCAAGAACGTCAAGAACCTTGGATACCATAAACAATAAAATTGCAATGACAAGGGTCCTCCCGGCACAATCGGGACTATTAATTCTTTGTATCAACAATGAGCAAGTCAAGAATAAATAAAATCTTTACTTCTTCTCAAGGAGTATGAAACATTATGCCATAAAAGACCAACCAATGGGAAGATTGCTCATGTTGCTTCTCTTCAGTAAAACTCTAAACAATGCAATCTGCCCAGATTTGTATACTGATAGTGCCAATGTTGAACTCTTTTTAAGAGTAAAAACATAAGATGTCTTTTTCTCACAATATCTGTTTTTACCTCTATGGTCTTTTGGGACAAAAAATTGAATAAAATAATGCATCAATCGGAAACAAGTTCCTCAACACTAAGCACAAAAAGGAAGATAGAACTCGAGAGAAAACGAATAATAATGTTTTCGAAGTGAATCTAATAAGTAGAACAAACATTAATCTATGATAAGTGATAACATAAGAGGAAGCATAGCAAAACGAAAATTAACCAACAAATCGCAAATGTTCCATAAATACTCAATTGGTAACATTCAGATACATTACATATATATAGGAATGTGTACCGATACTGGAAAGGGCTTGTTGTGAGGCTGATGGGAAGCGATTGGTGTCGCCATTTGCAGAGAAGGGGACCGCAATAATTCTTTTCAGCACAGCGGTCGATGTGAGGGTCACAATTCTGGGTATCAAACTGCACTTCTGCTCCACCGTTGGCCACAAAAATATTCATAAAATGTAATGGAATTGAAAGTGTGCAAATCAAACAAATTAAACATCCAAATGCCTATATTTGATTACAATCAAATAATCTATATCGAACTTAGAAATTATCACAGACAAGAGGCTTAATAGGCAATCATATACATGGAGTGTTCATGAACTACAGTACCCACGAAAGCTACAAGTATCAAAAGGATTCAAGTTTCTTTGACCATATAAAGTTTTATATGCAAGCTTAAATAAAAAAAAATTAAATTTTACTTCTATTTTATCCTTCCAGAGGTTTAATTTACTGAATAACTTCCAACATTAAAAACTCAATGCCTACTACGGCTACAATCAGTAAAATTCCAATAATCACAGAATATGCACATATGTATCTCTGGATATTTGGGTGTATATAGATACTTGGAACCAAGGTATAAAGCAGTGCAGGAATGTCCGATGGCGTGGAGTAGGCAGAGAGCGAAAGTCGATTGCAGAGAAAGTTATATTATGAACAAAATGTATAAAATTAAAAGAGGAGAATGACTAATCCCAAACATTAGAGGAATGATTTGTTAATAAAAAATCATTACTTGATGAAGTAGTACAATGATGCTTGTGGACTGCTAAGACACGAAATTCAGCGGCGTCCGACAAAGAAGGGCTGGAAGGATTTCTGGGAAGTGGTGCAGTCATTTTTATTCTGGACATTAATTCTTGGAATTCTGGAATTAAAAGAAAGAGAGCATGAGTTGCTAATTAATTTCTGGAATGGCAAAGGGTTTCGATCGATTCTGTAATTAAAGAAAATTGGGAAGAAGATAATGGCTCAGAATGTAGAATCGCCCTTAAATCTGCTGATTTTTGAAAACGCAAGGGAGAGTAATGGCTGAGAATAGGGAAGGATTTAGGTTACGGTTAACAATAGGGAAGCCGTTGGGTTCTGAATATGCAGGGGAGAGAGATAGAGTAAACGGCAGAGCAGAGCAATGGAGAGAGAGTAAATGACAGACAAATAGGGAGAGAGAAAATTATCCTAAAGAAAATTAAGGTAGACAGTGTTAATTATCCTAAAGAAAATTAAGAAGACAAAATACAATCGTCTTCACCTAAAAATCCTACTCAAATTAAAACAACAACCCACTTTTCCACTACATACAAATTCCACTTACTGATAAAAGAATTATTGGGTCTCTGTTTGGCTCAAAGCATTTTCCCACTCAAGTAAATGTATATGGCTTAAAAAAGGTATGTCTTTTTTTCGCGAGCAGTTTTACGTGGACTTAAATTATTGATTTGATTAATTATTATCATTGATTTAATTATAAATCTCGGTATTTATTAAAGTTTATTATCTATTTAATAATTATGATTGATTAAATTAACAAATCAAGTCTTTATTTTAAGTTCAATTAACATTTTCTTTTCTTTACTTACCTATCCGAAAGTGTTGGTTGTGTAGATTGTATACTAGTTGTGACTTTGAAGGGATTTTCCTTTGATATATTTTTCATTTTACAGTGATCACGTACCCTGTACTTAAGTGGAATCACGAGATTCTTCAACCAATATCGAGAGAAACTAAAAGAAAGGGTGATCTTGAATATCTAAATCAGGTGTCAATGAAAATGAGAGAAAAATCATCATTGTTCCTTGTGTGAGAAAGAAAACAGAAAGTGCAGCAGTTGATATAATGTTTATCGTCTCTCTGTTAATGGTTGATGAGACATTTCTAAGAAAAGAGTAGATAACAACGGTGTTCTTGACGCCGAAAGAATATTTTTATTCTAATACAGACACGTGTTCTCGGTACTCAGAGTATGTCTGCTCTGGATAAGACACGTGTCCTCGACTCTGAAGACGTGTGTTAATCTGTCACAAGTTTTTGTGCTTGGTGTCGAGGTACTACCCCACTCTATGACAGACATGTGCCCTCGGCTCAAAGGATACCTCCACTCTGAGGGAGTCATCTGTCCTCGGATCCGAGGGTACTCACTGAACCTCTAATCTTGTCACGAGTCTTCGGTTTCTGGAGAGACTACTGATTGACAGCTGAATAGTCTAAACTAGACTAGAAATCATGAGGGACACTCTGCATAATAAAGTTAGAATAGCAAAACAAACTAGACACTCAATCAAGGGAAGTCAGACGTGTGACATAAAGTGCAGGATAAGGGGTAAATAGACAGAACTATCCCTGTTGACTTACGTCTATCCCAGACAAGCATTTAATGAATCATCAGTGATAGAACATCTATAGTAGCTTGGGAAGCCGAGGATATGGAATATTAAATACTCTAGGCTCCAAGCATTTAAAGTCTTTACATCGAAGAGAAAACATTAAATACTCGGGAGCCCGAGCAATCAATAACAAGGTCTCCCCCATGCAAAATAGGAGACACACTACCCTATGTTTGGGTACTATCTACTGAATAGACTATCAATAATAATAAGCATTTGGGGATATAAATAGTTCTAAAAAATATGAAGTAAGGGTACGCAAAATCACCCCTCAAGAATTATATTGGGTTTTCTTCTTTCTATCTCTCAAATAATTGCTTTGATCATCAGAAGAGATAAGCCGAAAAACACTCTGGCGTCTTTCTAACTTATTTTCTGTGTCAGGAACGGCTTGTTATCCACCGGGATCGACCGGATTGGTCATATTTCCTCTTCATTTGTTACGGGATCATCAACTTTCTTGACGAGTACCAGTTCATCTGGGGAGAGATCTGTCATTCTTATATATTGTGCGAAAATCGTAGCGCACAGTGGTGTTAAAATATGATACGATTTGTTAATATAATATGAAATTAAAAGGTTTGAGTCTTTATTAAGTCACATGTTTTCTATATAAATGGATCCGACACGATATGATTAATAAACAAATCGGATATGAATGAAACCAATTAAAAAATATATACTACAAGATTCGTTTATATACTGATTATACACGATTCATGTACGACACCAATTTGATATGACACGAATCAAATATAAGTTGACTATTTTTTAATACAAACCCATTAAAACACGACACGAATTTATGTCGCTCAACACAATAGACCTAATCTCTATTATTGGATCTCAAAATCACGAATTCAAACCTCCTCGGATCAAAAAAGATAATAAAGAAACAGTAGATACCTCATTAGACGGTGTATCGAACACCACTAATACATTTGACTGAATGTGGAGTGTGACTTAAGAGATGATCAACAAATGACCCATCGCCAGTCGAATCAAACTCCACTCAATTCAGTTGTTAAGTGGAAGCACTGTTTTTATGTCACACATGACCTGTCCACCAAAAGACCAACAACCCCTTATAAACCGTCAAATGTGGCCTTTCCAATCAAACCCTAATGTTTGTAAGTGTCTGCCATTATGATACTGAAAAATATTTTTTTAACACCTTATTCTTTTTAATCAATAAAAACAAATCCCATGTACACTCATTTATTCTTTCACTATTTTTTTAATCAATAATTATAAATTATTTAATTTAAAATTAATGAATAAGATTCATAAAAATATAATATCAAAGTCAGTACTGCAACTTTACCCCCGACTTTACCCCCGTATGTGTATATAACTAATGTGTGTGTTAAGATTATTTGTTCATTCGACAGACTCCATAGTTGGAATAATGATGGAGTTCCTTGTGCTTCTTCTTCATGTTTCTCATTGCCTTAGTTGTTGTTGGCCCACGGCGGTGTGCATAGTGTTCTTGTGGTTGAGCTTTCGAATGGTGAAGATGTTATGGCGCCACAATCATTCGGAGTCAACGGTTGGGAGTCCTCCGGGCAATAACGGTTTTCCGTTGATCGGAGAAACTATGATGTTCATGGTGGCCATTAATAGTAACAAAGGATTCTACGATTTTGTACGAATTCGACGCCTCCGGTAAATATATTTTCCTCAATTTTTAACTTATTTTCGTCCAAAATCTCGTGCAAAATATGTTTTTTTTATTGTGGTTTGAAGAAAAATAAATAATTAGATTTGTTTTTATAGTTGATATGTTTATTATTGTTAAAACATTAAAATATAATTTGTAAAATAAATTTTCGGATCTAACCAATCCAGACTGGTGTTATATTTTATGTTGTTGGTCGGATCTAGGCTGACCCGGTCTATCAATCAAGGGCCTGAACCACCTAGCCATTGACTATTCAACGGGCTAAACCGGGTCAGCCCATTCTAAGAAATGATAGCCCACTGATTCTAATCAAGTTGTGGATGGGCCACAAAAATGGCTATGGACGGCCATGGAGGTCACATGATGCTCCGAATGGGCTACAACCCGACAAAATAGCAAGATTTCTGGTCAGCCCGTAGACCTGACCACGGGCCTTAAATCAATGATATCCGTTTGGAGTTAGTTTTTTTTGAGTGCGAAACAGAAGTTTGAAAATAAAAAAATCAGAAACCCATGGAATGATTGTAATTTTTCCTTTTTTGACAGGTATGGAAACTGCTTCAAAACCAATTTATTTGGAGAGACCCATGTGTTTGTTTCAAGCACCGAGTCAGCCAAGACAATCTTGAACAACGACTTGGGTAAATTCACCAAGAGATATATAAGATCAATAGGGGAGCTAGTTGGAGATCAAAGCTTACTCTGTGCTTCTCACCAACACCATAAGTTCATACGTAGTCGTCTCAACAATTTGTTCACTACAGCCTCCATATCCTTGTTTATCACACAATTCGATGAACTTGTCATACAGACTCTTAGCACCTGGGAGCAGACAGACACTGTGATTGTATTGGAGGAGGCACTCAAGGTTTGTCGAATAAATGTTTATGTTATACACGTTTCTAACAACGGAAACTTTTATAAACTTGTAACTTACCTTTATTTTCACAAGGCTTAAATGCTCACATTTATTATTTACCCAGCTTAAGCCACGGTGATTAGCTGCTGAACACAAGAGTGAACACAAACTTGTACACCCCGTAGCAAAAAAAAAGAGAAAACCACCTAGTGTAATAGCAATTCTTTTGGATTGTTAGGGATGAAAATGAATCGAGGTGTTCATAAACAATTTGGGATCGTCTTGGATAAAGCTTGTTCAAATTAGTTCATTTATGAAACCAACTGATCTCTAGTTCAATTTTAAACTAACCCCAGAAGTGTCTTATTTGGCTCAATTAGACTTGTGAATATACACAACCTCTAGATCGGTTTGTTTAATTAGATGAATCATGCCTTAACGAGCCAAACTTGAATAAATTATTTGAAATTTGTCACAATCACGAGCCAATCTTGAACACTTTTCATGAACAAGCAAGTCGAATCTGAATAGTCTGTTTCTCTGTTTTGATTTTTGGTCACTAAATTTGCTGCAGATGACCTTCAGGGCAATGTGCAAGATTTTAATGAGTTTAGAGAGTGAACATGAACTTGAGGTGTTGCAGAAAGATGTTGGTTATGTTGTTGAAGGAATGCTTGCATTTCCTTTGAGGCTACCGTGGACTAGATTTCATAAAGGACTCCAGGTAATTGAAATCTAGAACCCATTTAGAATTATGATTACCAGGCTTTCGTGTTGATTATAATCATCGATAATGGTAAAGTAAGTGGCTATGTACATGATGAATCAGGCAAGAGAAAGAATTATGAATGCATTGAATAAGATTGTTAATGAAAGAAGAAGAAGAAGAGGGTTAGAAGATCATGATCCTGAAGATTTTCTGCACTATCTTCTGATTGAGGATGATAAAGCAATCTGTGATGGAGCCCCATCGCTAACAGATGTGCAGATTAAAGATAACATCTTAACCATGATTATAGCAGGTGGTATAATGGAGGCCTTTCTTGTTTATTTGTCCTGGAATAAGTAGGATTTGTTCATGGAATGTATTCGTTATGTTTGTAAATATGCCAGGTCAAGACACCACAGCAAGTGCAATTACATGGATGGTGAAGTACTTGGATGAAAATCAGGAAGTCCTTGATAAGCTTAGAGTAAGCATGGAAGATTTTTATTTTTTTCCTTAATTATCACTGAAATTGTCACAACCATGAATTGTTTGGACTCGTAGTTATAACATCAATTGTTGATCACTCATAAACCACCTGCGTCTCGTAAACAAGGGTTTTCTTTTCAATTGTTGAACTTGAGACCTCGAAATAGTAACACTGAAGTCTTTCCATTTGGAAAAATGCACCTTCACAAGAAGAAAATTGGAACAGTACAGTCATTGTTGTTATTAGTATACTGTTTTTATTCTAAATGCTAGTTTGTTTACCACTACAGGCTGAGCAACTTTCTATAGCAGAGAAGACTTCACCCAAGTCATATCTTACCTTAGAGAGTCTCAATGACATGCCATATGCTTCTAAGGTATATGCAGAACAAGTTCTTTTTTTTTCTCATTCCTTTTTTCCTTTCTTAGTATATGGTTTTATAAGCAATAAGTTCAATTGGTCATATACAAACAGGTGGTTAAAGAATCACTAAGAATGGCATCTATAGTGCCATGGTTTCCAAGACTAGCACTGCAAGACTGTGAGCTCCAAGGTTTGTGCTTTTTATCAGACATGTATTTTCTATGGATTCAAAGAGTAAAAAAAATTTCTTTGGTTTCTATCTTCTAATTTACCTGCTTGTTACTTGCCAAAAATACAAAATCCTGTTTGTAGGATATAAGATCAAGAAAGGGTCGAACATTCATATTGATACTAGATCAATACACCTTGATCCTATGGTGTACAGTGACCCTGAGAAATTCATTCCTTCCAGGTTTGATGTGAGTGTCCTCATTTCAGAAAAAGCATTTTTATTGAAAGAATTTTTTTGGGGTTTGAACACTTGCACAGTATCTCATGTCAGACTTACAACATATGTATCCCTATTACTTTCAAACAGGAGGACTCAAAACCATACAGCTTCTTAGCTTTTGGAACAGGTGGGAGGACATGCCTAGGAATGAATCTGGCAAGAGCCATGATGCTTGTATTTCTCCACCGGTTTGTTACTAATTACAGGTGAGTTTTATCAATTTTCATATCACAGGATTTGGAACCAGACCCTCAAAAATTAGCCCAACTTCATCTGCAGTGCACTTCTCTAAATTGAGATTGTGCGGTTCCTTTTCAGGAACTGAAGAAACACACACTGCAGATGAAAATGAGGCTCACAGTAGCCCTGTTGCAAAGTTTAGTGAACATTGTTTTTATCAGGTGGCAGGTGATTGACTCAGATTCAAGCATCGATAAGTGGGCGCTCTTTGCAAAATTAAGAAGTGGCTGTCCAGTTCATGTTACGCGAATGACCAAAAATACTACTCCTACATGATTGCGCGAGCCCCTACAAAGCCCTTGTGGAGGATTGCAAGTTTCTACTGGGAAGAGATTAATACCTGTGCTGACCTACTGGCCAACTTGGGTATCAATCAGAATCAAGAAATAGTGGGATTTCATAGACCCCCCTCAAGCTTTAAACCCACTCCTCCTTACAGATTCATCTGGAGTCCATAATTTTGCCAACTGCTTGTTGCTCATTGGAATGTATGTAGGCCAAACAATGCTTTCCTATATTTTAGTAAATGACTGTTGTAAGATATATGTGACATTTTGTAATATAAATCTAGAGTGAAATTGTATATTTCTTCCCCAACATAAGACCTTATCCCTCAATTTCATGTTACTTACACCAACTGAGCATAGTTCTACCTTTGCGTTAAAGTATCACCTGCAATGATCTGGACAACCTCGATTTCAATCCCTCCCCATCCGTCATATCACATTAGAAAAAATATGCAAATTGTGATGGACTAATTTGGAACAATTCCTGACACGGGTGTTCATTTTCTCCCCTTTTTAATCGCTTTGCTCAATTCTATACAAAAAGCAAGCAAAGTAATTATATTGAATTTTCGACTAAAGTTGAATACAATAGATGTGATCACAACACCTAAAGCCCTTGGTGAATCGAAATTGATCAGGCATGTTATATGGAGGGTTTCGGGATCATGTTTTATTTGCATTTTTGGCATTGTTCTCTTACAGAGAAAGCTTATCTCCCTGAATCTCCCTGAGTCTTTTCAGGATTTTGCCAATGACAATTTGCAATGCCAGCTAGTATATAACTGATGAGATACATGAATGATCATAGCTGAAAATGGGGGGGAGACAATCCTGTGACCCCGAATGAGTTTGTACCATACCAAGGTTTTGTTTAATGTGTGTTTGAAGTATTGATTCAATGTCCAATTGTATGGTACATGCTAGAGTCCATCTAATATACACACTACATATACCATAGACAGAACTTGTAGTTGTTGACATATGGACAGGATGATGAACCCCTAATATATGGGACAAGGACAAGAACACCAAATTTGACCCTCTAGGCATTTCTCTCCTGTCTGCAATTTGTGATAGAACATTATACTCACTTTGCTTTGAAAGTATGTTGATCACTCAAATACTACCCACAATTCAAAGTAGAAAGTTGATAATTATGTCATGTTAGGGTAGTTCGGAAAACAAGATTTTAGTGATTAGTAGTCAGAATTTCCAACTTTGAGTCCCGGTGAGACGCTTTGATTGATCAGATGTGCATGATGATTTACATGTGATTACATGCATCACTTGTTAAGCGTAAAAGTCACAAGCCTAAAGTATGTATGCTTGTGATGGTTTTCTTTGATAAAAAAGGATACTGTTGGCCAATTCTTTGATATAATATACTTCCACATTACCAATTCTATTACCTACATTGAGACAGTGTCTCCCTGACAACATAAAAATACCAGAACGGTTGAGGAACCCACACACCAACCCAAAGGGAATTATCCCTTGCAGCTGGTACTACACCAGTTCTGTTTTTCGCCTAGCTTGAGGAGTACCCAAAGACACTGAAAAAGATTTCCATGATTGGCAGGCTCANGTTCTACCTTTGCGTTAAAGTATCACCTGCAATGATCTGGACAACCTCGATTTCAATCCCTCCCCATCCGTCATATCACATTAGAAAAAATATGCAAATTGTGATGGACTAATTTGGAACAATTCCTGACACGGGTGTTCATTTTCTCCCCTTTTTAATCGCTTTGCTCAATTCTATACAAAAAGCAAGCAAAGTAATTATATTGAATTTTCGACTAAAGTTGAATACAATAGATGTGATCACAACACCTAAAGCCCTTGGTGAATCGAAATTGATCAGGCATGTTATATGGAGGGTTTCGGGATCATGTTTTATTTGCATTTTTGGCATTGTTCTCTTACAGAGAAAGCTTATCTCCCTGAATCTCCCTGAGTCTTTTCAGGATTTTGCCAATGACAATTTGCAATGCCAGCTAGTATATAACTGATGAGATACATGAATGATCATAGCTGAAAATGGGGGGGAGACAATCCTGTGACCCCGAATGAGTTTGTACCATACCAAGGTTTTGTTTAATGTGTGTTTGAAGTATTGATTCAATGTCCAATTGTATGGTACATGCTAGAGTCCATCTAATATACACACTACATATACCATAGACAGAACTTGTAGTTGTTGACATATGGACAGGATGATGAACCCCTAATATATGGGACAAGGACAAGAACACCAAATTTGACCCTCTAGGCATTTCTCTCCTGTCTGCAATTTGTGATAGAACATTATACTCACTTTGCTTTGAAAGTATGTTGATCACTCAAATACTACCCACAATTCAAAGTAGAAAGTTGATAATTATGTCATGTTAGGGTAGTTCGGAAAACAAGATTTTAGTGATTAGTAGTCAGAATTTCCAACTTTGAGTCCCGGTGAGACGCTTTGATTGATCAGATGTGCATGATGATTTACATGTGATTACATGCATCACTTGTTAAGCGTAAAAGTCACAAGCCTAAAGTATGTATGCTTGTGATGGTTTTCTTTGATAAAAAAGGATACTGTTGGCCAATTCTTTGATATAATATACTTCCACATTACCAATTCTATTACCTACATTGAGACAGTGTCTCCCTGACAACATAAAAATACCAGAACGGTTGAGGAACCCACACACCAACCCAAAGGGAATTATCCCTTGCAGCTGGTACTACACCAGTTCTGTTTTTCGCCTAGCTTGAGGAGTACCCAAAGACACTGAAAAAGATTTCCATGATTGGCAGGCTCAACATCCCTGAATTCAAATCTTACATACTCTCGGAGGGAGAGAGAGAGAGAGAGAGATAAATGTGAATTTACGGTGATTTTTTGCAAGATTGTAGAGAAGTAAATTTTCTTTGCTAATCTGATGAGTGTTATTGTTTGGACTGAATTTAACATTTTTTTTGTGAATAGGCGATGAATGAAACTTGTCCAATGAACAAGTCAACCAAAATAATTGTCATGTGACATTCATTTAATCAAAAGTGAATGTGCAACCAGTCGATATGAAATGTTCAAATTCAAGGACAATTACGATCAAAAGTGGATGTATAGTTAATCGATACGAGATGTTCAAATTCAAGGACAATTACAATCCTGTGATGGAGGGAATAAAGCGATTATTTTATTTAAAAAGATAGTAGTTATCAAAATTTAATGAGTTTCAGAAATTTAAAAAGTAACAGTTAAAACAAGAGAAACTAATGGAACTACATGAAGAAGTTAGTGTAATCATCGATAAAGAGATATCTATACAAGAGACATTAATTGTAAAACAGAGACAATTAAATCCATCAAAGACTTTCACTAGTCTGTAGTAATTCAGAAAACTTTCAAGATTAATTACAATGTATTTCTTTTTGTTAATCTCTTGATTATCACTTTGCTTACTCTGAATTTGTCGATTGAGATCATCTAAAGAATTCTTAAAACAAAACAATTTAACTCAACATCAAACAGTTGTTTGAAATTGCTCTGTGGAAAATATTGAACCTATTGATCACAGGAGAAATCTTGTGTGGATACCAAGAGTACCACAGATTGCCTCTATCCTATGTCGTGGGCATGGTATTAGGAGAACCCGAGTAACAGTATTTTCCCTAAAAACTACTCTTATAGTAGTGTAATATACCCAGAGCAAGAGGAAAAAATGGGTTTTTCCCATGGGTGGATTAGAAGCTGCTACGTATCTGGGATTATTGTTACATCATTTATCAATAATGCAATTCAAAAGCCACTGATTACGTGTTGTGAATGGGCTGGCACTCATTTGATCATCAAAACGATTCTGTTTCATTAGTGTACAACTTGCACCCTTGAGAAGGGGGCATAACTTGCAGTGTTTCACCATAACATTTCTAGTGTTGATATGCAAAAGCCCAACTCAAATTGACTATCAAAAATACCAACATGTGGTATGAGGAAATAACCCCTTTGCATGTACCAAGAGGTTGTATACATTTGACACTCCCTCAATTATATATGCAAAACCCAATGGAGAATTATGTACAAAATTCTATTTACAACTTATCGGTTACTTTAATCGCAAGGGACAATTCAAATAATAATAAGAACGAGCTATAAATTTAGACGTTCTTAATTCATATTTTGGTAACTCTTTACGATCAGACCATAAGAGATTTATACCTCATAAATACTATAATCCGGCATAGATGTCTGCGTTTGACTGAACCGAAAAAATAATTAGTCAAGGTGATCGTAAACTAACCCAAATACCCTTAATCGTTAAACCAAAAAAAAAGTTTAATGGGCACTTTCAAGAATCTTAAGGTATTCTAAATCACTATCTTAATCCTGTTTTATTTAATAAAAACATACCAATTTGCCTCCTTTGTCATGTTCCTTGTGCTTGGCCATTTGAGCAATATCAACCTCAGGCCATCAAAATTAATGGATATTTTCAAGAAAATTAATATCTTAACCCTAATTTCTTGGATAATAAACATAGTAAAAATTGCCTCTCTCTGACTATCAAATCAAAAATGATTGAAGAGCTACAAATCAATTAATAAAGGAAGAAATTTTTAAAAAGAGCAAGCCAATTCCTAATTCCAGAGAAAATAAGAACTAGGGAAACAAGTCATGTACATTGATCACTCTTCCAAAAAAAAGTTGGTAAAAATCCAAACAAGAAGCAAAAATAAAATAAAAAAAAACCGATAAGATCCTAACCCGTGACCAGGTTCGGACCCAAGACCGTCCAACAGGGAAGGCGGTTGCTAACATCGATAATAGATTTCACTTCTCTCTCTACCTCCATAGATTTCACTTCACTTGTTTTTTTAATGGTTTTGTTCGGCCCATTTCTGTGCTTTGAATAACGTCCGGTGCTTTTCAATAAAGGACTCAATTGTAAGCCGAAACTCCTCATTGCTCAGACTGTCCACCGTGAAACGTGACGTCATCATCGTCGACCTTTCGCCGGGGAAGGCGACTAACTCACGTATCTCTGTCTCCGATCGCCGGAGCTCTCGCCGAGGTTTCATGAAAATTTCGTGCTTCAGCTTCTCAGATTGAGTCCTCTGGAACTTCTGTATCTGCTTCGTAGCCTTCTCTATAGCATGAGTAACGGCGTCGCATTGGAGTTGGAAAACAGCATTTTCCAAGCACACGATCTGCTTGTCGTGGTGGTTGCTATCGGCACACTCCTCCGTCTCTGGCGGCGGCGGCGAAGATAGGGATGTTTCACCGTCGGGAGAAGCCGCAAATAGTCCCTGAATCTCACTGTCACGTACATCCTCATCATAGATATCCGCAGCTTCGCCGGTGTATTTCGAGCCGTAGTTTTGGCGGGAAATCACAACAAGCGCGACGATAATGGCGTTTCCGATCAAAAACACAGCATGAGGTTTGAGGAAGTAGGCGGAGACTTCTAGGAGATACTCACCGGAGACTTTGAAAACAGCCGGAATCCGAGTCGACGACCAGGCGATCAAACTTAAAGCCACGACTATCTCAAGCATTTGCAACAATTTCGAAATCTGTAAACACCGACGATACCTTGAAATTGCGTTCGCTTTCTCAAATTTCACGTGATCGATGTCCATAAAGCTCAGTTTCAACCGATCACCAAACGGTATGAAGTTGGTAAGAAAATGTAGAAAACAGAGAGGAAATGTAATTTAAGAAGAGTGGTTCTTAACTTCTTATAGTAGAATTTGTCTGGGTTTTCCTGAAGACAATGGCATGCTAGGAATGGAAACAGATGGGGTGGAAAGAGTGATTGAAGAGAAAATATGGGATAAAATCTGCATAGTAAAATAGAAGAAGATTACAGATATGGAGAGGCAGTTTGGAACTTTGTCTTCTGATGGAGGAAAATTTCCAGGGTATAATACGATTTTTATAGCGGCGCTGGGCCTTGGAGCAATCGTTGAAAAATAGGTAGCACTTCACCCGGTGGCAGTGGCAGAGGCAGAGGCAGAGAGATTGGAACCAGCGGGGGACTGGGCCCCATCTTGAAAAAAATAAATGTTTTTTTATGTATATTTTTGAACAAATTTTATTTTATCCTTGTGATTTGACCTAAAGTAACTTTGACAGCCCAACCATCATCGCCAATCACCATTAAATCCAGCAACCTAGGCTAGCCATCTCCAACTCCAGTGTTCACTCCACCATCACCATCCACGACAGCCCACCGCCTACACCATACAAACCACTAAACCTTCACAATTCAAAATTTCTACCCCCAGCACCTCAATTCCATGTTTTTTTTCACCCAGACCCAGAACATGAATAAAATTTTTTACCGGATTCCATTAGAACTCTGCAGTTAAACGTGCTTGGACAAAAGTAATATTAGAATAAGTGACTCTTGAGAAGTTCTCGTATTGCACCCCTTTTAAAATAAATAAATAAGTAAATAAATCAAATTGAAATTAGAATCAAATTGAAAATCAACATGAAAATAAAAGTTCCGAATCAAAAAACATAAAGGGAAAACTTCATTTTACCCTTTTATGTTTTACCCATTTGCACGTCATCTCCTGTAGTTTAAATTTATCTTTAATCCGAATTGAATTTGAGCAAGTCTTGGGTTAAGATCTCGAGTTGTTGAGTTCAACCCGAATATTAAAATCAGGTTGAATATGAATATACATAAATATATAAATATATTTACTAAGAATTAGTATTTATATTCGCTCTTTAAAATTTTGACTTTCATTTCACTTCAAGTCTTCAATATTGTGCCTTTATCACTTTCAAATTCTTTTTTCACTCGTTACTCCTCCTTCTTTCAATCGTCACTCGTCTGAGTCGTCTCAGACTCTCAGCCTTTCTCTCTCACTCGTCACTCCTCCTTCTCTCATTCCATCTACGTCTCGCTCTTCATAAAAAATTAAATATACATTTCAAAGAATCAACTTAAATTAAGTAACTCAAGCTCAACCCAATTTTAACCTAAAATCGACTTGAATTAAATAACTCAAATTCAATTCAAGTTTGTCTAAATTAAACTCTAACAATACTCAAGTTAAAATAGAATTAAGATTAAAAATTATAGCCCTAAAATTAAATTAGAGGTAACTTTTCGACTCGTCCAATGCGTCTGAATTGCACCCATAGTCACGTTACTATGTAGTGTGCTTCTCCCTTCTCTCTCAGCCACAATTCTCTACCTATCTAACAATGCCCCGACACTCCGTACTTTGGAGCAGTCTTGGTAACCACCAATTTCTCTTTCTACCCTTATTATCACACTTCTATTTCTCTTACTCTGCCTGCCAACAGAGACCACCAGCCACGATCAACGTCTTTCGTAATTGACATCATTGATGGTGAACACAACGACACAGGGGAGCTTTGAATTCCAGTCCTATCGTAGTCGAGGTGATTGTTGGTATATGTTGTTATTTTTTATTTTCTAATGGATTCCGACTGTCATTTTGATTGTTAATTTGCTTCTGATTTTTTTTTTTTTTTATGAGTGGGATAAAAAAATTCACTGTATATTGAGGTTGAATTTATTGGAACACAAGCCAGGCCATTCTAAACTTGTGGTGATAAATCTATCTAATGATATCTGGAATACAAGTCAAGCCTGTCAGCTTCCATGATTAAGGAGTCATTAAGGTTAGGTAAACTTAATCCTATGAGTGATTCGGTGGCTAAATTTGATTTTTAGTATTATAGAGATCTCATTTTTAACATTTCTTATTTTCTCTAAGATGGGATATTCTTGTTCCTCAGAAGATATGGTTTAAACTCATTCGGACTATGATAGTCAATATTTCGAGCTCGAAAAAATAGTCGATGTAAGTTTAAATATTTTGTAACAAAGAAAAGATATGAAAAAAAAAAAGAAAAAGAAAAAGAAAGATTAGGTAAACGTAACGATTGATCGGATAAATTACAATTTTTGTACGAAAAAAAAATTTGTTTAATTAAGTGGGTCCCAAAAAATAAAAAGATGTCAGAATTTGTCTCTAGGGTTTATATGGAGAAGCCACCCAACCTATCAAATGATTAACCTTTTCCCAAGCCAACATTCCAAGCAATTTAGTCTTAATCATGTTCATTTAAATCATATTGCCCTCTCACTTTAATTTCTGCCTCGTGCTTTGCATTTTCTATTGTTAAGTGGACCGGCAAGTAAAAATAAGCTAAGCTCTAAAGCAATGGTGGAGTCAATTGCACCAATTAAAATACTAAGGATTTGTTTGGCAGATCTTGAAAATTTGGCTAGCTGAGGACAAGACTAACTCTGTTTTAAGTTGGCAGTATGTCTATGGAAAAAAAAAAACTCTAATTGGTTTTATAAACCTAAATTCTCATCCTTATGTCATTGATCTTCTACTTTATAGTAAGGATAATGTTATATAAACCCAATTTACTAATATAATTTATCATTTCAATCTATTACTACCATCGGATTAGAGATTGATACTAATATTGGATTGAATTCTCTATCAATCTAGTGACGATGATGGATTAAATCAACAAATGGTTCATTATTATTAAGCTAATTCTTTTTTTCTTTTTTTAGTTTAACAATCAGTGGTATTCAAGTTAGTTTACACGCATTTCAACCAATGTCTTCTCCGTTCTGATCAAAGACAGGTCATCCACGATGGAACTAATATATTCACGAGGTATTCAAAATTTAAACTCAAGCCGTCTGAATTAACAGTTCATCTCTGTTACTACTTAAACTACCCATCAAAGTTATTTTTAACCTAATTCCAAATACCATTTAGATTCACATTCATATGATTGTTCCATCATGCAAGAAATTTTGACCATATGGCTGACAATTCCTAAGCATATAGTCTAAATGCGAAAGATTAGAATACATACAGATAAAGGAAAAAGCAACTTGTCTGACAGATTAATAAAATTGTATACATCATACTTTTTGACTTAATGTGCATTCACAGTGGATTATGTTAGATATTTTTTAGATACTAAGCAGACTAATAGTATCCTTTCTTGATATCTAATGATACCATAAATAATATCATAAACAAGTGGAGGGATATATCCATGTCTGTCGACGACTCGGCTGCAAGGTTCAATAACAAGGACTAAACCGCGACCTCCGGTTGCAAATCTAACTTCAGGTAACCTCAAGTGAGGGTGATTAAGTTGTCCATATCACTTTACGAGAAAGTTTAGTATTCCAGCTCAGGTTAGGAGTATAGATCGAGCTCCTTTATTCACAAGCTATCCAATGGAACAAGAGATCATCCCAAGTAGTATGACATTTCATAGATATGGAAGATCACAGCGTATTTGAGCTTGGAGATAGGTCACAATGTCACCTTGGCATGTTTTAGAAGACAACATCAATATATTCTAGAAGGTCACGTCACACCTAGAGAATGTAATCTCTAACGGTCAATTATTCGCTTAACAAAATCTTAACAAACTTGGGGATTATGTGATGATGAGATGAAGACCACCCCACACGTGGGTATAATGTTAGAATAGTTATTATATTTAGATTTAGGGGTAGTTTAGTCATTTCTCTTCTTTTATGTTGCCCTATTTTAGTTTACTATATAAAAACCTCTTATATGTAGTTTTCCTTTAAGCTTTGTTCTAGTTAATTGTGCCGCAATAGTATTTTGTTCTTCTTTTTCTTATTTTTCTATGATTGATCAAAATTAATATGATATTAGAGCATGGTTTCGATCCAAAATATATATTGTAGCACCACAGTAATTTAGTTGGAAGAAAAATATATTTTTGGGTTGTGTGATTTGAGGGCTAGTGATTGGTGGATTGATATTTTTTTTTGTGATTCCAAGGATTGTGTTCACACGCTGTGAACAGTACCGACGTTATTGTTTATGTTGTGAATAGTGTCGAATTTCAATTTTTAGTGCCTTTTTGGTGTTTTGCTGCCTCTGTTTGTTTTCTAGACTTTTGAAAGTTATGAAATTTGGGTTGTCTAGTTGCTGGATTGCTGGTTTGATTTATTGACTCGAGATGCTTGTATTAAGGCCTATTGAGCGTTTGCTTCTTCGTTGGTTTCTAGTTTATGAAGTTGGTACGTTGGGATCTGCTGTTTGAATTGCTATTTTTATTTACTTGTTGCTGCCTCTTCTCTTCTACTGGTGCTTCTTCTTCTTCTAGTTACTAGTCTGGTTGTTTCTTCTTCGTCTGCTGTTGTTGCTTTAGGCTTTTGGACTGGTTTGTTGATTGGTTGGTTTTGTGCATTGGTGAGTTGTCATGATGCTGGTTTTTGATTTGTTTGTTTAGGCTTGCTATTTGACATAGCGTTGCATTGTTTCGCACTGAATAAGCAGGAAACTTTTGTTTTTCATTTGCGTTGTTTAGCATTGAAAAAGTAGCAGGAAACTTTGTTTTCATTTGCATTGTTTCACACTGATTCAGCAGGAAACTTTTGTTTTCACTTTTGATTGGTGGATTTGAGCCTTTGAAACTGATTTTGTAAACGAACTGCTGAGTGAGTATTTGATTTGCAAAGTTGTTAAATTGATTTGTGGTAAACTTTGGATTGTTCGGTGTTGGCTACTTCTTTTGGTTCTAGTTTCTGATTTTGACTACTATTGGTTTGAGACTAGTTCTGGTTTGTTTA